GAGCTAAAAACATTAGCGCTTGGCAATCGGCTTTTGAATTACTTTCGGTGATGGCAATACTGAGCAATTGCGGTCTGCTTTATTTACAGCCAAACGTGAAGTGAGTAGAAACGTTTGCTGTTTGAACGGAGTATTAAAAATTGTTAATAAACTAGTTAATTTTAAAATTTATACTTCTACAACCCATTTTATCTCTTATTTCAGGGGCTTTTTCTCAAAACTATTTCCCCAAATGCCAGATATAACCTTTATACTTTTTGAACACTTGCTTTTGGGCTTGAAATTTGTTATACACAAAGTGATACACGAACGACCACGTTGGGTGCGTATAGCTTTGCTAAAGGCAGACTACGAATCGGACCAGGCTTACAAAAAACTGAAGTAAGTGTGGGATATGATATACTTAAAATGCAGTATTAAATATGAAATTTTGTTGCCTTTTTATAGAAAATTTAAGGCATTTAATAAAATGGACTAGGTAAAATGAACAGGAAATGAAGGAAATCCCTTAGCAAAACCAAATTACTGTAAACGATAGCTTTTTAGTTTATGTTAATTTGTTGCTAATGTAGCTATTGTTGCTGTTTCCAAATTGCTGTGCTCTGGCAAATTACGGCCTTGACTATAGTTTTTCGGCACAATAATAGCAGCACAGCAATAACATGAATGTTTATTCTGGTGATTTTTTATTTAAATAATTTAGTTTACTCATTTACTTTATATGTATTTATTTGAAGACTAAAAATATATTGTATTTTATAAATAGTTTTTTTATGTATTATGTTACATTAATCGCCATATATTTACTTAATTTTTTAGTTTTTTTATGTATATTTATATTACATTAATTTCTATAAGATACAAACGAAAAATTAATAGTTTCTCGTAAGTGCCTCAAATGTGCTACAGACAAATGCAATTACTTGAATTTAATACACAAATATAAATGCATACACACAAAAAAGATTAATAATAAAATTGTTACTTATTTGTCATATGAAACTTTTGAGCTAACTAACGACTTCCTCTGTAATATCTAAAAGATAAAAATGCATCAATGGCATGTAAAATACCGGCGGCATAGCCAATATACTGTAAAAGAGCAACGAAAAAAAAAATAAGGCGGTTAATACGTTAGTAGGTTTGTAAGTGGTTTTATAAAAATATGTAAATATCAACGAATTTTTGAGAAAATAACCAAAGCTGATTAACCACAAATTAAAAAAAGTATTTTATGTTATTTGAAATTCATAACACTAGAAATAATTTCAATAATAGAGCCAAAAATTGCGAAAGCTAACAAGTTATTTTGTCAAAAGTTCCTCCTATAAAATCTCTTTGTTTGTACTGTTGTTGTTGTTATACTCACATATGCCGCTGTCATTGCTGGGTAGACCCAAAAACCCGGTCGCACAAGAAATTGCGGATGCAACCACACAACACA